TTTTAATCGATTATTCGAATATATTTTTCTATATTATTATTTAAATCCTCTTCGTAAGTATTTTTAGCTATTATAAAGAAAAAATTTAACCGGTTAACCTTAAAATTTTCAAATAAATTTGAAATTTTTTCTAAAAATTAGAACAAAAATTCTTGAGAAGTGGTGTTTATTACTTTTTTTTCGAAACCCACACTTGAAAATTTTCTACATTCTATAAATATTTGCATTTATTATGAAAATTTTCCACTCGAAAAAACAAAAGACATTCTTAATTATACCGCGAATTGTGTTGCAAAACTACAAAGCAGCTGTCATTGTTTCAAAAAATCCCTCCTAGAACGAAACGGAAGCTTATAAGCAGCATCTTCAGCAAGATCGTGTTAGACAGGTATAAGAATACACGCAATGCAAATTCTCTAGGAAACACCCTCACTTAAGAAAACCACACAATGTAAAGGAAAAGGATCAAAATCCCATTAGCAGCAGCTATTTAACATGAGTATATGTGTGTGCGCGCTAGAACAAGATCAGCAAACACCTCTCTCTCGTACCTGTTTAACGATATCGTATTACAAAATTTCTAGTATAAAAGATTTTGCTCTCAGCAGAAACAGTATCAGTTACACCTTAAAACGTCTAACGTTAACAACATTTTTAAAACCGTCAAAATTTATCCCAGCGTAGAAAAAATCTTAAACATGGTTCTCAACTCAACCGTGACCTGTAATAATTTGATCAACGAATCTGAGGAGCAGCAGCAACAACAATCTCCTCAACTTGTGGTGAATACTACCGATTTTAATAACGAAGACCTAGAAGAGTTTGTTAATATTTCGGAAGAAATTGAAAGGACCTCTCGGGAACGTCGTTCTCTAAGAAAACGTTCTAAGTCACGTTCCAATACCATGGTGGTGGCTACCATGACTAGAGAAGAGATATTTGAATCGACCAATGTAGATGATGATGATGATCAATTCCTTAATGCTTTGGAACATCAAACCTCTTATGAGGCGGGCAAAGATCGTGCTGCTTTGGTTAGCAGCATAGAAAATCTAATGAAGTATTTCGATGAAGAAGTTAACGTGGTGGATGATAGCTTGATTAAAACTTCCCCGGTTAAGAAGGTTACTAAAGGAAAGGTGGCCTCTGCGGTGGCTTCTTTGCGCAACAAGTGCAGTTTAACTCCTTCACCCTTAAGTAAGCGCAAGAAGCAGCAATTGGAAGTTAAAGCCAATATCCAGGAGTTGAAGAAAAAGTATGAGACCTCTATGGAAACAGAAGCCAGTCCTTCTCCTAAACCCACGAAAACTAAAAGTCCCAAATTATCGCGTAAAACCAAGGTTAAACAAATGGCTTTATTGTTCAACAGCAAAATCAATTCCATGATACGAAGCTCCTCTCCAGAACCACAAACTCCTGAACCAATATCACCCGGTTTAGAGTCCATAGCTTCGCCCAATTTCACCTCTACTCTCAAGCCGAAATCACCCAAATTGAAAAACAAGTTTACTTTTGTAACCAAACTACCTAGTCCCAAACCTAGTCCACTCTTCAAGAGAAAGTCTTTGCAAAAGGCTCCTAGCATTAGCTCCCTAAACAACAGTCCAGCCATGAAGCGCAAGGAATTGCAAAAACAACCCAGCACTACTTGTTTGGTGGCGGAAAATGTTTTCTCTCAGCTATCGGTCAAGGATAAGGCTTTGCTTTACAATAAATTCATAGCCGATATGTCGAAACAAAATCCCAAATTTAGTAAACATGCTGAGGTCTTGGAATCGAATGTTAAGAAAGAAATACAAAGAGGAGAAGTTATATGTGAGAAACAAGATTCGGTGAAGCACCTCAGAGACACTCTGGAAGCCAAGCTGACACCCACCAAAACATTCTCGAAAACCCTGCAAAGATTTAAAAGAACCACCTCCAAACTGTCATTGGATACAACACCCAAATCCAAGGAATATGAGGATTTACTGCAAAATGATATATCCTGTTCGCTATTGGAAGATGATTCCCAGGATTTGTTGCATGTTAGCACTTTAACGGTGGTTTTAAAGTCCAGCCCCGAATCAAAAAAGTCCACTCTTAACACTAATAAAGGTCAGCGCAAGAAGAAGGATGTAACCTTTTCGGAGGATAACAGTATTATAGAGCCCTCCTATGCTTCTACCTCAACTTTTAAAAGAACCCAAAAGATGATACGTTCTTCTTTTGGCGTGGAGCCTTATGCACCACCCAAGAAAATAAGACGTACACGACATGAACGACTAGCACCTAAGATGTTTTTTCAGAATCAACATTTGGAAAAACTTTTCTATCACTGGCTAAAGGAAAAGAATGGAGTGGCCTTTGACATTACCCCCGTTAATAATAGCAATGATATTATAGAAATAGTGCCCAAAAACTCTAGAGATAATGTTTTGCCGGCCCAAGAAGTACAGGAAATATTAGAGGCAGCTATCACAAAACTGGAAGCCAACAAGCAGGAGCAACATATTTTGGCAACTAACAATGATGCTATAGCCTTAATTAAGAACACTTTGGAAAATGAGCAAAGTTTGGAGAAATCCGTAATAGAAGTGGAACTACCCTTGGAAGTGGAAATTCCTGCAGAGGAAAACAAAGATATAGAAACTGAAGATAGTGATTTGGGCTTGACTAGTATAACCAAGGTAAATTTTGAGAAACAATTTGTTAACGGAACACATAATAATTCTAATATGTCTTTTCCAAAACAGACCACTAGCGAAGATTCCCAAACGGAATTACCAACACAAGAAGTTTCTAATCTTATGGCTAAACCTTTGCGCAAGAAGAAATTACGACGCTCATTGACTTTACGCAAGGAAAGTTCTCTGCTAGAGTCAAATAATTTATTCTCTACAGACTCCGATTCGGATTGCAAAACTCCTAACACCAAAATACAAAGCTGTACTTTGCCCAAATCCAAGAAATGTTCCAATTATGTTAAGAAACTCATATTCAAGACCCTCAACAACACCATGCCTTTGGAACAGCCCAGTTTGGTGAATAATGAGTTAAGCATTTTGGAATTGGATACATCTTTGATAAGACAAGTTAACTCACCCTCGAAAATTAAGAATGCCTATACGTTAACGGTAATGTCATCTCCTTCGCCTCATTCGGAAAGTGATTTCTACGATTCAGATTTACCAAGAACCCCCATGAAGGAAGCTTCTAGATCTTGGCCTTCTTTATTAGAAGCTTGTCTAGATGAGGAACCGTATGTTTTGAAAGACAAGTCGGTATCTACCGAATTCACCGATTTGGCCAAGAGTAAACAAGAACAACAGAAATTGTTGATGGATAGTTTTATAGATCAAGGTTTTGAAACTGGCTCCAATGATATGGATTCACCCTTAAGAATGCCTCGCAAAATAGCCAATGATATAGAGAAATCTATCACCAAACGTGAGAATCCTAAAAACTTCTCTACCCCCAACAAAGATAAACCAGTGCAGCAGGTATTTACCGCACAATGTGGATCTGTGGTATCACACACCATTAGTCCCATAGCATCTAATTCTTCACCACGTCGTCCAGCCTCACTAACCATGACCGTTATAAAGGAAGATTCAAATATGGAAGACTCGGAGGAGTCACATTACACGCCCAGTTCTTTAAATGACAGTGCCACTTTCTTTACCCAAGATTCTCTTTCGCAACAAACCGATTCCCCTCTAGGAGTTACACACAAAGTCAACTCTTCACAATTTTGGATAACTTCAGGAGATTTTACAGCTGCCATAACTATAGATCACTATGAATCTGAACGCTTAATGCTGCTCTGCAATATCTATGGCCAAAAGAGTCTAGAGACTAGAGAAATGAATTTTGGAATCGATGATCAAAAGTTTTGCTATGACAGCTCGGCTACTTCAGATGAGATTATTAAAAAGGTGCCTAAAGTAAACAATTGCTCCCAGTATTGGTTCTCTACCGGTGATGTTTTGATACCTTTTAATGGCAAACAAATGTCTAGCAAGAAAATACAAACATTCTTTAATTATATACGCGAATTCATGGAAGAATCAGGTTCTTTAAGATTTGGCATTGATAGCTATGAATTTTCTAATATCTATCAACAGTCACCCAACTGCACTACTCTCTTTAATGGTAATACCTGGACCCAGGCTATTGCTCCTATATCACCTCTTAAAACCAGTGATTTAGATCAATCTGATGTGGAATCGGAAGAATTTGAAAGAAGTCTTACATTCTCCGCCATTAGTCAACATTCTGATACGGCTTCCCTGAAAAGTGATGATTTGATTAATCCTCAACAATCTAGCTTTAGAACTCAACACTCTTCCGGTTCCCTAGAGCAAATATTTGAAGATGCCCGTCACCTAAATCTCTCCAAAACCCAAACCGATAAACAAGCCTTAGAATCTCAGTTCACCGTACCGGAAATGTTAAAAACTTTACAGAATCAACAGACCAAATTGAAATCTCTAGAAGAACGCATGCTTAGCTGCACTGAAACGAGTGGTAATCAAAAAGTCATTGAAATCAATGAATCCCCCGAGTATATGCGTAAATTAAGAAGCATTATCTCCGCCATTGATAATATAGGAAGAGGTAATGGTTTCAATGCCTGTACCATTGAACAATTGGAAAGTTTTATGTTCTTTTTGAGCCGTTATGCTGATCTTTGCCTGGCCAATTGTACAGCTCATATAGAAAAGATTTTGGATGTGGTTATGAATCAACGTTCATTTCAGCTGTAATTTAAGATTCGAATTTCAACTTTCCATCCTTTTATAAAAGTAACTACAAGTTTCTTCCATTATCGTTGTATTTTATGTAAAACGAAACCATTCCATTTAATGACTATGACTACAGCTTTTAAAAAAGCTTTGGTTTAATTTTAGTATATAAGTTTATATTTAGTTTTAAGAGAGTCTTATGAAGACATTTAGGGTTACCTTTAATATTGAATGTAAGTTGAAATTTATAATAAAAAACCGCTTTGGCAACAAAAAAATTTTTTTGGAATATTTTATTTTTTTAGTTTTAAGTTTTATGTAGGGGATAAAGTTTAAAGAAAATTTCAGGAATTTCTGTTTTCAACACACAAGGATCTTCTCTCTGATGATCTTTGTATGTTGTCTTTGAAATAGGCATATGTATGTTCTAAACTCTAGGGATTTTTATTATTGTTTTCTTATTTTAAAGATCTTTAAGGTTCTGAATATTTTCTGAATATAAAGTTTCATAATTTTCTCATTTAATTAGAAATAATGATCTTGTCTAAGAATTCATATTGATCTTTTCTTGTGTAATGATTTTAGAATGATATTCTTGCAAAAGTTTTGACTCTAGAGAGCTTCTCTGTGATTAAGAGATACGATTCGTTTAGAAATAAATTTTATGAAATTGAAAACCTATATATATGGAGAATCAATTTTCATATTAAACTGATCGTTAATGATCGATCAAAATTCCTTCAGTAAGTGAACATTACACAACGATCGATACTAATCAGTTTCGAAGGAATTTTGATCAGTTTTATTTCCATAAACAGATCGTTAATGATCGATCAAAATTCCTTCAGTAAGTGAACATTACACAACGATCGATACTAATCAGTTTCGAATGAATTTTGATCAGTTTTATTTCCATAAACAGATCAAAGTTCCTTCAGTAAGTGAATATTAAACTACGATCGATACTGAGTACATCGGAGAATGCTAAACTGATCAGTATTATCAGCAAGAAGTTGCCAGAAAACTGTTCCACGTTTTCTTTTATAAAGATCGTTAAATATTTTGAGGAAAAAGTTACTGGGAAACTATACAACTAGTCTGTATAATATAACTCATAAACTAATTAGAAAACTTATCAATATTATCTATAGTAATTGCCCAAAAAAATGATTAACAATTTTGCAAAATGAACCTTTAAAATCCGAGAAAATTTGAGAAAATTTTTAATACAAAGTTTATAAAAAATTCTCAAAAACTGATATTTTTTAATGAAACTTTCAATAATTTAACATTTTTGTAGAGTGATCCTCTACTTTTTTCTCTAAAAACTACCAAGAGTTTAAACACTTTCTAAAGACTTTTGGGTGAAAACTGATCAAACGATTTCTCATAACTGATCTTAACTCTCTGCTGGTAGACTGGTGAACTTTTTAATGAAACTTGATCAAAAACTGTTAAACATTTTTTTTTTTGGAATGATTCTCTAAAACTGCTTTCATTTTATCTAAAACATATCACCTTTTTCTAAAGATGTTTGCGTGGAAACTGATACCTTTTTTTCTACAGAAATTTGCCTACAAACTGATCAACAGTTTCCCCATAAACTGATCTTAACTTTCAGCTGTGAGGCTAATGAAGTTTTTAATGAAACTTGATTAAAAACTATTAAACAGTTTTGTGTAATGATCCTCTTAAACTGTTTCCATTTTATCGAAAAATTAACAACTTTGCATGAAAACCGATCATTTTATTCTACTGACAAAATGATCCACAGTTTATTCAGAAACTGATCGGAGCTATCAGCTGGGAGGCTGATGAAAGTTTTATGGAAACTTGCTCTGAAACTGTTTAATATTTTTATAGAATGATCGTCTCAAACTGTTTCTATTTTCTCTAAAAAACAGTTAAATTATAAACTGATCCGAACATATTTTTGTAGAATGATCCTCTAAAACTGTTATCAATACTTTTGTGAGGAAACTGATCAATAAATTGAGAAATTTGCCCAAAAACTAATCAACCGGTTCCTCATAAACTAATCGGAACTAGCATCTGGGAGACTGATGAACTTTTTTATGGAAATTATCATATTTCTCTAAAGAAACTGAAAAATTATCAATATATTGTACAGAAATTTTCTTGAAAACTGATCAACAGTTATTTTCATAAATATATGGGAACTCTCAGCTGGAAGACTGTAGAATAATCTTCTAAATCACCTTTTTCTAAAAATTAAAAACTTCAGTAACTGATCGTAAGTCTCAGCTGGTAGACTGAGGAACTTTATTATTGAAACTAAATCAGAAACTGTATATATTTTTCTTTCCCATTTCTTTAAAATTATAAACTTTTTTTACTGAAATTTGTCTGGTAACTGATCCATTTATTACTGAATATTGTTTGGAAACAGTACGTTTTTTATAGGTTATCTATTCTATAGAAATAATAGAAAGAAACTCGCGGAAACTGATCAATATTTTTTTATAAAAAAGTTTCTTAGGAACTGAGTAAAGAATTTGCCCTATACAAAGCATATTTTTCTACTGAATGTCGATCAAAGGCTATTAAACTTTCTGGTAAAACGTTCCTAAGAAAGTAAACAGAATTTTTCTAAAATATATCAATATTTTGTAGAAAAATAATCAAATAATATACTTTTTATGCATAAAGTTGGGATATGTTCAATATTTCTATGGAACGATCTTAGTAAACTGATAAGTATTTATCAAAGATTTATTCAAGACTATTTGTTATAGAAAGTCAAAAGGAAATTGATCAAAATTCTCTCACTCTTAGTTAATCGGAGTCTCATCATGTTTGTTTTGCCGAAAAATACTTCAGTTACAGATAAAATTTTACAATTCCAAAATACTATTGAGGTTTTAAACGCTTTCGAATGGCAGAATTTGATCACAAATGAGCAATTTCAGAATTTGATAAAAAATGAGAAATTTCAGCTCTCGATAACGGAATAAGAAACATTTATATTAATATATTTTGAATTCTAGAGTATAAGTTTTGGAACCAAAACTCTATTAAGGTTTTAATCGCCTTCAAATGCCAGAATTTGTCCCTGAAGTTTTAGAAAGCAAAAATTAACTTATTTCCCTCTGCAGCATCGTATAATTCTAGAAATTTCCATCTTAGTAATTAGTAAAATTTAAATTACATCTGCAATCGTTAAAACTAAATTTTGAAATTTCGAAAAACCTTAATTTAATTCCAAAGAAATTTCCCGCTAAATACTTAAATTCTAAGGAAATTTTTCGTACTTTAGTCCAAGTAGCAGCTGCATATTTGCATATATGCTAAGTAAAAACCGCTATAATCCCAGCAGGTAGCTATAAACGCTACTTAAAACACCTTTTATATAGAGAATTAAATTAAAACGCGAATAATTAGAAAAATTCGCGAAAAAGGTACAAGTACTAGGTAGTAAAAAGGTACCTGATTGACACACTCTAAGGTTACTCAAAGGATTTCGGCTACCTGTACTTTCCACTATCTTAAGTGTAAGTTTGATTTGAGTATATAAACTTGTGCAAATTGTGAATTCAACATCAGTTCTAAACTGTAACGTCTAACGTTAAACACGAAATCTAAGAAAAATTCTAAATTTTTATCAAAACCCTTCAAAAATGATGACTATTGCTACAACTGTCACTAAACAATCATCTCCTGTTGCTTCTCGAAAGAAGTATCCAGCTCCTCAACGTCCCAGTATTGAGGAATTGAAGAAGAAGTATGAAGCTAATACTACCAATGCCAACCAGCAAACTTCCATGACTCCAAAACAATCGTCGCCTAAGATGTTGAAAAAATCAAAAGTCAAGCAAATGGCCTCAATGTTCAATTCCAAGATTTCCCAAATTATCAGAAGAGAACCAGATGTTGGCAAGTATACTACTTTGGTGAATGAATTAACGCCCGAACCCAAGCCACAACCTAAGACGGGGTTACCAAAACCCTTGCCTTTACCCAAGATACGCTATAATAAGGAAAGAGCTCCCTTGCCTAGTCCCCGTACTAAAGCAAAAGCTAAGGCCCAACAAAAATCCATGTACTTTGTATCTGAAGACAACTTTGCCAAGTTAACGGTAAAGGATAAGGCCCAATTGTATACCCAATTCATAGATGACATGTCCAAGAAAAATCCCAAGTTTGGCAAACATGCTGAACTAATGGAAGCTAATGTTAAGAAGGTGGTGGCTAGAGGTGAAGTGATTAATGAAAAACAAGCCTCAGTCAAACGTTTGCTAGAGGAACTTGAGGCTAGATGTGCCTTCCCTAAACAAACGGTTTCACCTTTGGCCTTACAAAGAATCAACTCGATGCGGAAATCTAAAGCTAATGCTAAGGGACCAGTTAAATCCAAAGAATTTGAAGATATTCTACAGAAAAAAGTATCTCATATCACTACTCTAACGGTAACACTACAACCCATTCCCGAAATGAAGAAACAAAGAAGAGCTAGATCTTTGCCACGTCGTCGTAGAGATCATGAACAAGTACTTAAGGAATTGGGCATTATAGAACCTTCTCACAAGAGAAACAATGATGAAATGCGTTCTTCGTTGCCTATTGAGGCCTATGCTCCTCCCAAGAAGATCCGTCGCACTAGAACCGAAAGATTGACTCCTCAAATTGTCTTCCAAAATCAACAATTGGAAAATTTATTTTTTACTTGGTTGAGAGAAAGACAAGATAAAGAGAAAGAGGAAATTGTTAAGGAATGTGAAACAACAGAAGTCAAATCCAAGTCTTCTATAGACAAGCTATTAGAGGAGGCCATAGCTAAGTTGGAAACAGTGGAAACCAAACAAAAGGATGAAAAGGAAATTGAGACTAAAGCCAATGAAATTACACCCAAATTGACACCACGCAAAAAGAAACCAGCTCCTCCAGTGCCAACGCATGCCAAGCAAATACCTTTGGCCAGCTGTGAAGCATCAACCACTTCATCTGTTAAACATTCAGAAGCTGAAGAAAGTGAATCGGGTCTAGGCGCTTTGACAAAAGTAAGTTTTACTGAAAACTCTCTCACAGCAAACAAAAATTCTAATTTTGCAAACTTTCTCCCACAGATTAATAGCGAAGATTCACAGCCTGATACTCAAGACAAGGAAACTGAGCAATTGGAAAAGGAAAGCGATTTTGGCAAACCTATTAAACCTCTACGTAAAAAGAAAATGCGTCGCACTTTAACTTGGAAAAAAGATACCTCCATAGAAGAGACACATCCCATAACCTCCACCGATTCTGATTCAGATTCCAAAATCAGCGAAACCATTAATAAAAACAAGATGCTTTTTATAGCCCCACAAATGGCGCAAGTAACAGAAGCTGTAGAAACACCTATTGAGCCTAGTTTTGTGGAACTAGACGAATCCCTAATGCGTGAAGTAAATTCGCCACGCAAAATCAAATCTGCCTACACTTTAACTGCCTGTTCACCCATACCTTGTCAACAGGAAGAGGATTTGAAGGATTTTAACAAAGTTTTGGACGCCAGTGAATGTGTTAAAAATGAAACATGCCACTCTTGGCCCTCGTTAGTGGACAATGAAATTGAACAGGATTTCAGTTTACAAAACAAAACTCAATCTTCTGATTTGTCAATGGCTTTGCCAAATCTCGAACCTAGATCTTTGGCTGATAGTTTTATAGATCAAGGTTTTGAAACCGGGTCTAATGATATGGATAGTCCCATACGTGCTCCCAAAAAATCTGCCTTAAAACGAACTGATATTAAAGTATCAGGACCTCTCTTCATTAAACTGGGTTCAGATGGGGAAAATAAAGCTGAAACTCCTTCGGGTTTCTCAACGCCCATTAAGGGTCATTTGCAACAACAACAAGCAGAAAAATCAACCAGTGGACCAGCTCCTCAGCAGCTTTTCAGTCCCATAGCAATGTCTTTGAAAAATCGCCGCAAATCTCTATATGACACTGAATCTAGACGCAATTCTTTGGCCATGCAAGTAATACGAGAAGATCATCCTTTGGAGCATCATGAAATGACTTCACCTCGCAATTTAAACAATACCGAGCAGACATTTTTCGCCAATGCTCCCACCTTGGATATGTGCAATGACATGACCGGCCTTAATACCGATAAAACTTCTCAATTTTGGATTAAATGTGGTGATTTCTCGGTATCTCTTGACATCTATTACAATGATGCCGAACGGGTGCGTTTACTATATGAAATCTTTAGCCAAAGAAGTTGTGATACCAAGGATTTACATTTTGGGATTGATGATCATAAGTTTTCCGTACACAATCCTCAAGATCAGGAGAATATCTCAAAACGTTTGCCTGCCAATAAGGATTGTTCGCACTATTGGTTCTCCACTGGTGACTTGGCTATACCTTTTGGTGGCAAACGTTTGTCTGCCGAAAAGATACAACGTCTCTTTGAATTCATTAAAGCTTCTGTGGAAGAGACTGGCATATTGCGTTTTGGTGTGGATACTGTAGAATTTTCAAATGTTCCTGAATTCTGGAATCAATCACCCAAATACTCTATGGAAAGCAGCTACAGCATGTTGGTGGGTTTACAATCGGGCAATAGTAATGGTTTGGAAGGACGCAGTAAATTTGCTTGGCCCAACTCCAAACCCGTACGTGTTAGTGACTTAGATCAGTCCGACTATGAGTGTGAGGATTTTGAAGATAACGATTCTTGTCGGCTTTCCTTCTCACCCTTTGGCAGCAATCATTTCGATTTAGCTGCTTTGGGTAATGAAGAACTTTCCCTACCACGCAACAGTGAAGCCATGATGAATAGTGAATCATTTGGTTATGAATATGAAAATGAATCATTGGATCACTTATTTGGTGATAAATACAATGCCAAACCCATGCCTGTACCCCAAATTGAAGCCACTCCTGTGCCGGAAATGTTAAACACTTTGAAATCACAACAAGAACGTTTAAGTTTAGTACAAACTAAACTTTCCACCTACAACAACCCGGCTAATCTATCGAGTGATGCACTAGATGCTCTTAAGGGAACTCCAGAATATATTGCCAAACTTAGGAGTATAGTGGCCGAAATTACCAGCAAAGGCAGCAGTAGTGGTTTTAAAGACTGCACCGTTCAAGAATTGGAAAGTTATATGTTTTTCCTAAGTCGTTATGCTGATATTTGTCTGCATAGCTGCAGTGATCATATGGAAAAAGTATTGGATGCTCTCTTGGATCAAAGAGCTGTAGTGGTCTAAATACTTGATTTTCATTGATATTTAGATCTAAGTTTACTTTTTTGTATATATAGTAATGGACTGTCTTCTAAAGACATTAAATATGTATTTAGTTCTTAGGTAAAAATTTGATGAATAAAATTTAATTTTTAAAAAATAAATTTATAAATAGTTTTATTTTTATTAATATCTTTATTTAATTAGCGACATCTAAACAAATTAAATCTTTATTGTTTTGTTTACATTTTGTTAATTTTCTCCATAGATTGAAAACCGATCTGAATTTTTACTTATGTAACAGATTTTTAAAATATGTATACATTGCATGAAAACGTATGTTTTAGACACATTTTAGGATTTTTCTCTGGAATTGCTCATAGTACGAAAAATATAACCATTTTCTATGTGCTACTAGACTAAAGACTAGACTATAGACTAGCCTATAGACTAGACTATAGACTAGATTATAAGCTAGACTATAGACTAGACTATAGGCTAGATTATAGACTTGACAATATACTAGATTATAGCCAATACTATAGACAGACTATATATTACACTATAGACTAGGCTATAGACTAGATTATAGACTAGACTATAGACTAGACTATAGACTAGACTATAGACTAGACTATAGACTAGACTATAGACTAGACTATACACTAGACTATACACTAGACTATATACTTGACTATATACTAGACTATAGACTAGACTATAAACTAGACTATAGACTAGATTATACACAGACTATAGACTAGACTATATACTCCACTATAGACTAGACTATATACTCCACTATAGACTAGACTATAGACTAGACTATAGACTAGACTATAGACTAGACTATAGACTAGACTATAGACTAGACTATAGACTAGACTATAGACTAGACTATAGACTAGACTATAGACTAGACTATAGACTAGACTATAGACTAGACTATAGACTAGACTATAGACTAGACTATAGACTAGACTATAGACTAGACTATAGACTATACTATAGACTAGACTATAGACTAGACTATAGACTAGACTATAGACTAGACTATAGACTAGACTATAGACTAGACTATACCCTATACTATAGACTAGACTATAGACTAGACTATAGACTAGACTATAGACTAGACTATAGACTAGACTATAGACTAGACTATAGACTAGACTATAGACTAGACTATAGACTAGACTATAGACTAGACTATAGACTAGACTAGACTAGACTACAGACTACTAGACTAGACTATAGACTAGACTACAGACTAGACTATAGACTAGACTATAGACTAGACTATAGACTAGACTATAGACTAGACTATAGACTAGACTATAGACTAGACTATAGACTAGACTATAGACTAGACTATAAACTAGACTATAGACTAGACTATAGACTAGACTATAGACTAAACTATAGACTAGACTATAGACTAAACTGTAGACTATACTATTTTATACATATAGTCTTAACATGTTTTCTATTTAAAAAAATAGAAAGGCCCTAAAAAGGTACCAAAGTTACACATGATCACCCTCTAAACGTACAAATTTCAAAAAGAGTGCCATATACACAGCTGCTCTCTTTGTGAGTAGATGAATACAATCCTTAATAGTGCTTTTAACTAATCAAGAAACCCAGTTTTACCCGTTTTTCCCTTTTTTACCCCTAAATATTCGAATTGTTTTTCACTCCAAGATAATTTCGGGAAAAGTCTTATAAAATAGTTTGTGGTCACCATAATTATAATAAATTAAGTATTAAGCTCTTTTAAATTCAATATTGGTTGAAAATTAGATTATAAAATGACTTTTTTTAGTTCAACCATTATAGCAAATTGGGGAAATATTTAGTTAAGAAAATATTGTTATGGACCTATAAAGTATTTTAATTTGTTTTTTAAATAAAAGTTATAAAAATTTGTTTTTTTAAAGTATTTTATTATTTTTTTCTAAAATAGTTCTTAAATCTAAACAAATAATATATATTTAAAGTCTTCTTTAGAAGACTGTCAACGTTTATATACAAATACAATTAAAAAGAAAACTTAAGAACTATTATTATTCAAAAACTTAAACTACTACTGCTTTATAATCGACTAAAGCTTCCAAAACTGTTTCCATATGTTGGCTGCAACTACTCAAACAGATTTCAGCATAACGACTAAGAAAATGCATATAACTTTCCAGTTCATCCACAGAGCATGATTTAAAATGATTACTGCAGCCAATATTACTGATATCTGCCACAATATCCTTGAGTTTCTCCACATATTCTGGGGTACCCTTATAAACATCCAAAGAATCTTTGGGTATATAGCAGGGTTTAACATATCGGGAGAAATGTTCTTGTACAGCACTTAGACGTTGTTGTTGATTTTCTACGTTGTAAACCATTTCGGGCAGTGATAAATTTTGTGATGGTTGACTATCTTCTTGATTGTCGTCGAAAAGTTGATCCAAAGGTTCACTTTCATATTCACCACAATATGATTCTAGACTCATCATGGCTTGGCTATTGCGGGGCATGGATAGTTCTTCATTATCCAAGGAGGCTAAATCATAATGATTGCTGCCAAAGGGGGAGAAAGATAAACGTCCTCGCTCAATTTCCTCATAGTTGTCGGATTCATCTAGATCGCTAATCATTACCGGTTTACTGTGAGGCCAGGCGTATTTACTGCGTCCTTCTAAGCCATTGCTATCACCAGATTGTAAACCCACTAGCATGCTGTATTGGCTTTCCACTGAAAATTTGGCAGGTTGATACCAAAATTCGGGAACATTGGAGAATTCCACTTGATCTACACCAAAACGTAAAATGCCAGTTTCTTCCACAGTTTCCTTGATGACACGGAAGAGACGTTGTATTTTTTGTGGAGTTAAGTATTTGCCACTAAAGGGTATGGCCAAGTCTCCGATAGAGAACCAATAGTGTGAACATCCCTTTGTAGCTGGTATGTGGGTTGAGGTATTATCACTTTCATAAGGACCATGTACAGAAAATTTCTGATCATCTATGCCGAAATGTAAATCCTTGGTTTCACAGCTAGTTTGACTAAAGATTTCATATAAGAGTCGCAATCTTTCGGCTTCATTGTAGTTGATTTCCCATGCCACTGAAAAGTCACCACAATTTATCCAAAATTTTGAAGTCTTTTCCACAGCATTATTGGTTGTTTCCTTAGTTATATCCATAGTGGGAGCATTTGCAAAGAATTTTTGTTCTGTTTGACTTTTGTAGGTTTCTTGAGCTTCCAAAGGTTGATCTTCTCTGATAACCTGCATGGCTAGAGAGTTGCGTCTGGCTTCCATGTCATAAAAAGATTTACGGCGACTTTTTATGGGTTTGGCAATAGGACTGAAAAGTTGTTTAGCTGAGCCCGATCCGCAATTGGCAAATGAATGATGCTCTTGCTCCTTGATGGGTGTTGAGTAGTCAAAATTTCCTTTTTTGCTGTTATTCAAGTTAGAAGAGAGTGGTGAGTTTGTTTCTGCTGGCACGTATGCTCTTTTGAGTGGACTTTCATTATCATTGGTAGCTGTTTCAAAACCTTGATCCGTTAGGGTATCGCAAGCCGTTTGAGTTATATTATGACTACTCCTGTTTAAATGAGTTTTAGCAAAGTTGAGCGATGATCGTGGTGTACACAAAGGAGTTTCCAAAACGGTGAGAGTATAGGCTGATTTGATTTTGCGTGGTGAGTTTACAACTCTTATTAGGGATTCATTGAAATCTTCTAAAACTTCCTGCGCTTCAAAATGGGTTTGTTTCCCTTCTTCTGCTGCCGTTGGTTGCATAAACAACTTTTTGTTTTTAGCTCTAGTTTCCGTTTGCTTACTATCCGATTCCGAATCAGTGGAGTTTATTTGGTTGATTTCATTTTGTGAGACTTCTTTCTTGAATACAGCATTGCGTCTTAACTTCTTTTTGCGTAAAGGCTTCAAAGGTTGGGCAAATACAAAATCATTTTCCGAATTGTCTGTTTTAGTGCCCAGACTTTCAGTTTGTGACTCCTCACTGGTATTCTTGGGTAAAGAAGATAAACCAGATTCACTATCTTCGGTTTCTGAGGCTTTCGTCAAGGATGTTGAACTAAAGGAGTTTCTTTTAGGTGAAGGAGTTGCTTCAGCATTCTGTTCGATTTCCAAAACTTCCAACTTAGCTATAGCTTCTTCCAATAGTTTATCTATAGCAGATTTTTGTTTTTCTTCATCCACTTCCGATTGATTAGATATGTCCTCAACACCATCATCTTTATCGTGTTTCTCCTTAAACCATGAAAAGAATAAATCTTCTAATTGTTGATTTTGGAAAATTGTATTAGTCGTCAAATCTGGCTGATGTTCCAATGATATATTTTGATTTCCCACATGTATGCGAGGCAAAGATTTCACTTTTTCTTGATTAGTTGGCTTATCCTTGTTGAAAATATCCTCAAATTCCTTGGCTTTAAGAGGAGTAGAAGTTTTTACTAGTAATTTTTTGCGTGCCGCTAAGGCTCTCTTCATTGAATCCATTCTTTGTATAGCATGACTCTTATAAGCGGTGGGTTTAGGAAAAACTTTATTAAATTCCAATTCATCGAGTAAATCTTTAACGGTGGCTTGTTTTTCAACAATAACTCCACTATGGTTTATATTCTTTTGGGTGCTGACACCCATTAGTTGAGCATGTTGTCCGAATTGAGGATTCTTTTTAGACATTTCCTCTACAAATTGTGTATAGAATTTGGCTTTATCCTTTACCGACAACTTGGCAAATACCTCTTCAGCCACAAAACAAATTGAGAGCTTTGTTTGATTTTGGTTTAGTGTTTTAGTTCTGGGACTAGGCACTGGTGTTTTAGGTTTGGTAAAACGTGTTCTAGGCTTGGGAACAGGTTTGTCAATGGTAGCTTTAGGTTGAGGCTTAGGTTCTGGTGAGAATGCATTTACCAAAGTGGAATACTTTCCCACTTCTGTATCACGTTTTATAAGTTGTGACATTTTGGTATTGAACATCGAAGCCATTTGCTTAACTTTGGATTTCTTCAATTTCTTGGGTGATTTGGGTTTTGTAGACATCTTGGGGGTTTCGTAGACGGGAGATGATGATTCGTATTTCATTTTCAATTCCTCAATAGAACGACGTTTGTTGATGAAAGTTGATTGATTGTTAGCTTGAGACATTTTTAGGGTTTAAGTTTAAAAACTTGTTGACTTAATTTTCTAATAGTGATGTTAACGTTAAACGTAACAGTTTAGAACTGATGCCGATTGTATCATTTCACAAAGTATATATAGCAAAAAGTTTATTTTACTAACAGGTAGTTTAAATTTCCCAATGATCCTTTTTACTAGACAGGTTAAAGATAGTTTTACTAAGTATGGTTTTAGTTTTGGCGTTAGGTTTAGTTTAGTACCTGTTTCTATTTTCTGATTGGTTTTAAACAGAGATTAAATTTTGAGCTATCGTGCATGTGGTTTTCCCTTTTACAGGTAGATTATTGTGAAATCCCTGTGGGTAGTCCTTTTTGTAATAGTAGCAACTAAGATTTGTTTTACAATATTATGAACACGTGCAATTGGAAAATTTTTGTGGAAATTTGGGATTCACTACTAAATTAGTTAATATTTAGTTCTTATATTGGAAACTAGGAAACCGAACAATGTTCCAAAACCCTACATACAGCATAATCTAAATCTTCAGAAACTGAAGAAAGTGTATAAGGTTTATCTTCATTACCCAGGAAAACTAGATAAGATCCACAAAGAGAAAGTCAGACAATAACAACTGATAACTAGGAGAATGATAATGTGTTCCCAAGAACGTGAATCAGTTTTAACTTAATTATACAAGAATACCACATAAATCAGAAAAACTATTTAGTTTAAGGAGAATGTATGTTACATCAAATCTGAAGAAATGCAACTAAAGGAGAATTTATGTATGTTACTTCAAATCCGAAGAACAGTTCGTTCTTTTACCAGAGTTTCTGGTGTGAATCGATACAACGATTCAAATAACGGAGGCATCCAAACTAGAGAAATTATATGTTGGAAAATGATTTTTTGTGTTTGCGAAACTTTTGAAGAATGAATCCTTTATGAGAGCAGTGAAATTAACAAAGAAACTGAAAACTAATCGCGCAATTTCCTTGAACCTTTCATCATGAAGTCGGAAAATGATTCAAAGGTTGCAAAACCTGCAGCTTTAGAAGGGGAAATGATTATTAAACAAAGGTCACTTGGATCTAAAGAATGTTTAGAACAATTAAGAGCCGTGAACTTAACAAGGAAACTCTCATCGTTCAACTTTCTTGAACTTACAACAGGAAGAGACAAATTTGTGGTTTAAACACAAGGCACAAGAACATCATTTCTTAGAAATCAATCAAATTCAATTCATTCGAATTGGACTTTCAACAAGTAACAAGATACAAGGAGTTTACTCAAGTTTGAAAAAGGTTTAGGAGAATTCCCTGAGTCTGGAGCGTTGAGAGAATCAATGATAGGAGTTTTGAGCTCAAGTTCAAGGAAATCAAGTTTATTTATGATATGTTTTTAAAACGGTTTTGTGTATTCCACACTCATCATTAGAAATCCTCGCGGATCGTCTTACTTTCTTCAACCTGTAACATGAAAAGCCAAATTTGAGGTTTAAACACCCATTAAGACACAAGAACATGTTGCATTTCTTAGGAAACAATCAGGTTCAGTTCGCTCGATTGGATTCAACAACTATCAAGACATAAGTCTGAGGAGGGTTTGGGAGCATTGAGTGAATCCCTGAGTCTGAAAGAGGTTAAGGTGTGTTGACAGAATCCCTGATGGGACCTCGAATCTGAAGAAAATTAAAAAGAATTGGATGTATCGCTGAAAAGAGTATATTTACAATGTGGTTTGAAAATTGCTCTCCATAATCCTCGTTGTTCCTTAACCCTCCATACATATTTATACTCACTCAAAACTGAAGAAAATTAAACAGAATTGGATATATAATGATAATGATTGTGATTTTTGTAAAATCTAGTCTGTCTTCGAAAGATTTTGAAAACGGTTTTATGTACTCCTCACTCATCATTAGAACTGCAACACCCAAAGCTAAATTTGGCTTTTTAACACCCATCAAAGTACAAGGACATCATATTCACTCCTATCTGAAATAAATGAAACTGAATTGGAAGTATGTCTGATGAGAGTTGAGAACTCTGGAAAGTCGGATCTGTTTACTGTCTGCAATGTGTTTTGAAAACTTCCCGTTGAACATCGCTAAAACTTCCACACCACAGGATTAAATTCAGCTCAAGAAACTCAGCTGAAGAAAATTTAGGAGAATTGGATGAATTCCTTTGATTTCTCAACTTTCATCAAGTTGCATGAATACAAAACATTTGCCACATGTGTTGATTCAGCTCTAAACCCCTGAAATCTCTTTCTGATTAGAAGTTAAGACGTAGTTTGTTTGTCAGGCGGGCATTAGAGTATTCCTGCAACCTCTAAAGCCAAAAAGGACTAACGTTCTTTGCAAATGCTCTTATTATATAAATGATGGAATAATAGACATAATAGAAACTATACGTTTTGGAAATCGTTTACCAAACCAGCTTTGAAACTAGTGACTAGTGTACGTGACTTCTTAGAATGTCTGTAAATTGAATAATCACTATAAGAATTTTAAAATTTTTTGTAATATTACATGTTAATCTTAGTTGCTCTAATTAAAAAGGACTAACTATCCACAAGCCTATGTATTACAAAAACTTGCCTGTAAAAGAGGCTTAAACATCCCTTTGAAAAACCCAAGCAGATGTACATATAAGAGATTAAACCACAATAAGAAAACAGGTACTACTCCTAATCTTAATGCTATTTAGTCACACCAACTACCTTTTTAACATTAAACAAAAAAGGATTAGAAATTCTAACTACCTGTAAACAAACCACACATTTTGCTATATATACTTTGAGGAACGCGACATTTAGCATCAGTTCTGAACTATAACGTCTAACGTTAACAACGCAAATAAACAAACTAAATTTTTACCTTGAAAATTATTATCAAAATGTCTTACAACCAACAAACATCTCCCATCAACAAACGTCGTTCCATCGAGGAATTGAAAATGAAATACGAATCATCAGCAGCCGTCTTCGAAACACCCAAGATGTCTTCCAAACCTAAATCACCCAAGAAATTGAAGAAATCTAAAGTTAAGCAAATGGCCTCCATGTTCAACACCAAAATATCACAACTCATCAAACGTGATTCCGAAGTGGGAAAATATGCTGCTTTGGTAAATGAATTCTCACCAGAACCTAAACCACAGCCTAGAGCCACCTTTGAAAAACCTGTGCCCAAGCCTAGAACACGTTTTACCAAGCCAAAGGCACCAGTTCCTAGTCCCCGCCTTAAAACATTAAACAAAGTTGGCGAAAAACCCTCTGCTTGTTTTGTGGCGGAAGAAGTATTTGCCAAGTTATCGGTAAAAGACAAAGCTAAATTCTATACACAATTTGTGGAAGAAATGTCGAAAAAGAATCCTCAATTTGGTAAACATGCTCAACTAATGGAAACTAGCTCGAACAAGGATGGTAATCAAGGTGGAGTTATTGTGGAGAAACAGGCCACAGTTAAAGAATTACTCAAAGAACTTGAGTTAAATAATGCTTTAACTAAACCCAACAAAGCTTTACAAAGTCTCAACTCTATAAAGAGAGATTTTGATGCTTATACAACAACAGCAGTCAATACTTCTATACCCTGCAAAGCCAAGGAGTTTGAGGATATTTTAGAGAAGAACAAGATAAAACAAGAAAAAAACAAATCCTTATGTAGCCTACCAGACACAACTGAAACACAACAACAAGATCTCACAAGCAATTCAATCTTCCAAAACCAACAATTAGAAGATTTGTTCTTTTCCTGGTTTAAGGAGAAACATGATAACGATGATTGCGTTGAAGACTTATCAAATCAATCAGAAGTGGATGAAGAAAAACAAAAATCCGCCATTGATAGACTATTGGAAGAAGCCATAGCGAAATTGGAAATCATAGAAGCTGAACAAAATACTCAAGTGCCCATACCCATGCCACGCAAAAAGAAATCATCATCATCTTCCACTACATCATCTGGAACCGAAGAAAGTGAATCTGGTCTATCTTCTTTGCCCAAGAATACCAGCGAGGAGTCACAAGCTGAAAATCAAACCACTAAAACTGAGAATTCTGAAAATGGTTTTGAATTTGCCAAACCTTTGAAGCCTCTACGCAAAAAGAAATTGCGCAAAAATGCCTTGATAAAGAGTGAAGTCAACCAAATCACCTCTACAGATTCGGAATCGGATAGTAAGCAAGCTGAAACTAAACTTAAAAATAAAAAGTTATTTATACAACCAGCACAGCAACAACCGTTAGAGAAGGTGAAGCCAGAATCGGAAGAAAGTCTAGCAGAATTAGATGAATCCCTAATGAGGGTTGTAAACTCACCACGCAAAATCAAATCGGCCTATACTCTCACTGTTTTGGAAACTCCCCTGTGTACACCACGTTCATCGCTTAACATTGCAAAACCTCAACCATCTTCCGATACTTTAACGGATCAGGGATTTGAAACTGCTACTAATGATATTGACAGTCCCTTCAAAAGAATTTCTACACCAGATATGACAAACTCTCCCATGTCTACCCTGAACAGAAGCAAAAACAATTTTGGCTTTTCAACACCCATTAAGGCTCAAGAACATCATACCTTCACCGCCACCGGAACAGGCTCAGCTAAACAATTATTTAGTCCCATCTCTAAACCTTTAAAAAATCGCCGCAAATCTTTATATGACGTAGAATCAAGACGTAACTCTCTAGCCATGCAGGTTATCAGAGAAGATCAACCTTTGGAAGCACAAGAAACCTACAGCAGTAATCTCTACAGCCAAACCGAACAAAGATTCTTTGCAAATGCTCCTACCATGGAAATGTCTCAAGAAACAACCAATAAACCTGTTCAAAAGACTTCACAATTTTGGATTAAATGTGGTGACTTTTCGGTAGCTTTGGAAATCAACTACAATGAAGCCGAAAGATTGCGTCTTTTGTATGAAATCTTTAGTCAAACTAGCTGCGAAACCAAGGATTTACATTTCGGCATAGATGATCAGAAATTTTCCGTTCATGGTCCTTACGAAATGGATAATACCTCAAAACGTATGCCTGCTTCTAAGGGTTCTTCACACTATTGGTTTTCCACCGGAGACTTGGCCATACCTTTCAGTGGCAAATATTTAACAGCACAAAAAATACAACGTATCTTCCGTGTCATCAAAGAAACCGTAGAAGAAACTGGCATTCTACGTTTTGGTGTAGATGAAGTGGAATTCTCCAATGTTCCCGAATTTTGGTATCAACCTGCCAAATTTTCAGTGGAAAGTCAATACAGCATGCTAGTGGGTTTACAATCTGGTGATAGCAATGGCTTAGAAGGACGCAGTAAATACGCCTGGCCTCACAGCAAGCCGGTAATGATTAGCGATCTCGATGAATCCGACAACTATGAGGAAATTGAGCGAGGACGTTTATCTTTCTCCCCCTTTGGCAGCAATCATTATGATTTAGCCTCTTTGGACAATGAAGAACTTTCCATGCCACGCAATAGCCAAGCCATGATGAGTCTAGAATCATATTGTGGTGAATATGAAAGTGAACCTTTGGATCAACTTTTCGATGATAGTTTTAGTCAAGCATCGGAACAATCAAGAAATCTTTCGTTACCCGAAATCGTTAATACCGTACAAAATGAACAGCAACGTTTGGGTGGTATACAAGAACAATTGGCCAACTATACTAAACCCTCCTATGTGGGCAAGGACTCATTGGATGGTCTTAAAGGTACACCGGAATATGTGGAACAACTTAAGGACATTGTTACCGATATCAGCAATATTGGCAACACTGACAATTTTAAGTCGTGCTCTGTACAAGAATTGGAAAGTTATATGCATTTCCTCAGTCGTTATGCTGAAATCTGCTTAAGCAAATGCTCTAAACATATGGACACAGTTTTGAATGCTTTGGACGATTACAAAGCCGTAGTAGTTTAAGTTTGAGCAAAATTATTTTAAATTAGTTCTTAAGTTTTCTTATTGTATTTGTATATAAACGTTGACAGTCTTTCTAAGAAGACTTTAAAATTATATTTTAGATTTAAGAACTATTTTTGAAAATAAATAAAATCTTTGAAAAAACGAAAATTTACTTGAATATTTATTTTTATATACTTTTATTTTAAGGAATTGTCATTTTAAATGTTTTATGCTTTAGACTAGTCTTGTCTATAGTCTTGTCTATAGTCTAGTCTATAGTCTAGTCTATAGTCTAGTCTATAGTCTAGTCTATAGTCTAGTCTATAGTCTAGTCTATAGTCTAGTCTATAGTCTAGTCTATAGTCTAGTCTATAGTCTAGTCTATAGTCTAGTCTATAGTCTAGTCTATAGTCTAGTCTATAGTCTAGTCTATAGTCTAGTCTATAGTCTAGTCTATAGTCTAGTCTATAGTCTAGTCTATAGTCTAGTCTATAGTCTAGTCTATAGTCTAGTCTATAGTCTAGTCTATAGTATAGTCTATAGTCTAGTCTATAGTCTAGTCTATAGTCTAGTCTATAGTCTAGTCTATAGTCTAATCTATAGTCTAGTCTATAGTCTATAGTCTAGTCTATAGTCTAGTCTATAGTCTAGTCTACAGTCTAGTCTACAGTCTAGTCTATAGTCTAGTCTATAGTCTAGTCTACAGTCTAGTCTATAGTCCAGTCTATAGTTTAGTCTATAGTCTAGTCTATAGTCTAGTCTATAGTCTAGTCTATAGTCTAGTCTATAGTCTAGTCTATAGCCTAGTCTATAGTCTATCTATGTCTATGGTCTCGTCTATAATCTAGTCTGTAGTCTAGTCTATAATCTACTCTACAGTCTAGTCTATAGTCTATTATATAGTCTCGTCTATAATCTAGTCTATAGTCTAGTCTAGACTATAATCTAGTATATAGTCTAGACTATAATCTACTCTACAGCCTAGTCTATATTCTAGTCTATTAGTTTGTACTGCATTCTAGACCAAATCCTAATCCATAACTTTATTTTACTTAACAAATATTTTTTTTATATTTCATGCAATTCTCAAATTATTTTAACTAAATGCTAAATATCGTTACTCTCTCTTTACAGCCCCCCGAAAATGAGCTTCAAAAATCCCACGATCACAATCCGGCCGCCTTAAGTGAACATCAATTGCGCATACAAGCCTCATTACAACGTCTCAACATACCCGACTGGTTCCGACAATATAATCAAAATCAAAAGTCACCCGATGGTGCTGGCACTGGTGCTGGTTCCGCCTATAAACCCGGTAACTTTACCCGTAAACGAACACAAGATTCTGGACGATGGGTAGGTCTAAACTCTAAAACCACATCGTTAAGCTCTTTGGGATCACAGAGATCCGATCGTAGTCCTCTACTATTAAGTCCATCGGCACATAGTCATCATGGTGGTCAGAGTACACAACATGCGGGTCAACATGTTCATGCAGCCGGTACCACAGGTACTGGGGCAAGTGGTGGTGCCTTCTCCAGATGGTCCACCTCACATTTGAATTCATCACAAACATCACCCAGTGTTTCACAAAGAGGATCATTTTCCCGCGGCGGACCCATTAATTCTAGTTTTATGTCTGTGAATAGTGGTCACAGTGTGATACGAAACTCTATGCGTCAACCCTATTTGGGTTGGCGTAGTCAGGAGAAACTATCACAAAGAACCGCGCATGAGAGGTAAGATTTAATGAAATTTGTTGTAAACACATTTTAAACTATTGTTTTTTTTTTTTTTTGCCTTAACAGATTGGCCTCTTCCCTATTGTCTCAACAGCAACGCACATCACCCACAAGCCAAACGGTTCCGGCTAATAATGATAAATTACAACCTGTTACACCCGAGATACAATCCTCCATTAAAGAGGTCACCTCGGCTATTGTACATTATGTTAACGATCAAACAAATCAACAGCGCAGTAGATCAACGAGTCCAAATTCGAGGTAGGCTGGTTAATGCAACACCAGCTTTAAATAGCTTTTCCTCAAAAAGAAAAAAATGAAACGAATTTCCCCATATCAAAACTTTCTGTCTTTTTTAAAATCCCCCCTCAAAAAAAATTATTGTTTGTGTAGTGTGTTAATTTAGCGCTCGGGGTTTTGAACCCTCTTTTATTCAAATATTTATGTTGATTGTGTTTTTTCTATGTACGGCACTTTAGTTATGTGTATATGCACCAACTCTACCTTCTCCAAACTTATTAAGTTTTGTCCTAGTTTCTTGTTTTTGTTCTCAAAAATCTGCACTCTTTTTTATTTAGCTAATTTCAATTTCGTTCTTTTGTATTTTTTCTATTTTTTTATTTAGCTACTTATGAATCCCTCCTCCATCATATTCATTCAAATATCAATATTTTATTTTGAATTTTTGAAAAAAGCACAATTTAAACAAAATTTATTTTATTAAAACTTTTTGAGTTTGATTTCTACTTCTTCATCCATTTAAACCCGTAAACGTTAACGAACATACCAACACTGTTGATTTGATTTTGTATGAAACAAAAAAACAAAAACCAAAAACCCAAAAATTTCCTTGGGATGCATCCATCATCATTTTTGTTGTGAGCATCTTACTGTTGTTGTACATACAAAAAGCCGTATTATCATTTCCTTTTTTCATTTTCGTTAAAATTTAAGGTAAGTTTGAATGATACATCTAATCTCATTATTATTATATTTATTTGTTTAATTTTATTAAATTATTTTTAAGATTTTATTTGAAATTTTTAAATGCATATTAATTTTTTTTTTTAATTTCACAAGCCTGAGTCGAGTATATTGTCCAGTTTATAGACGAGTATATTGTCCAGTTTATAGACGAGTCTATAGTCGAGTCTATAGACGAGTCTATAGTCGAATCTATAGACGAGTCAATAGTCGAGTCTATAGACGTGTCTATAGTCGAGTCTATAGACGTGTCTATAGTCGAGTCTATAGTCCAGTCTATAGACGAGTCTATAGTCGAGTCTATAGACGAGTCTATAAGCGAGTCTATAGTCGACTCTATAGACGAGTCTATAGTCGAGTCTATAGTCGAGTCTATAGACGAGTCAATAGTCGAGTCTATAGACGAGTCTATAGACGAGTCAATAGTCGAGTCTATAGACGAGTCTATAGACGAGTCTATAGACGAGTCTATAGACGAGTCAATAGTCGAGTCTATAGACGAGTCTATAGTCGAGTCTATAGACGAGTCTATAGTCGAGTCTATAGTCGAGTCTTTAGACGAGTCTATAGTCGAGTCTATAGTCGAGTCTTTAGACGAGTCTATAGTCGAGTCTATAGTCGAGTCTATAGACGACTCTATAGTCGAGTCTATAGACGAGTCTATAGTCGAGTCTTTAGTCGAGTCTACAGACGAGTCTATAATCTAAACTACAGTCGAGTCTATAGCCTAGACTATAGTCGAGTGTATATTCTCGTCTATAGTCGAGTCTACAGTCTAGCCTAGAGTCGAGTCTATAGTCTATCCTATAGTCGAGTCTATAGTCCAGACTATAGTCGAGTCTATAGTCCAGACTATAGTCGAGTCTATAGTCCAGACTATAGTCGAGTCTATAGTCCAGACTATAGTCGAGTCTATAGTCGAGTCTATAGTCGAGTCTATAGTCGAGTCTATAGTCGAGTCTATAGACGAGTCTATAATCGAGCCTATATGCGAGTCCATATACGAGTCTATAGTCGAGTCTATAGACGACTCTATAGTCGAGTCTATAGACGAGTCTATAGTCGAGTCTTTAGTCGAGTCTACAGACGAGTCTATAATCTAAACTACAGTCGAGTCTATAGCCTAGACTATAGTCGAGTGTATATTCTCGTCTATAGTCGAGTCTACAGTCTAGCCTAGAGTCGAGTCTATAGTCTATCCTATAGTCGAGTCTTTAGTCGAGTCTACAGACGAGTCTATAATCTAAACTACAGTCGAGTCTATAGCCTAGACTATAGTCGAGTGTATATTCTCGTCTATAGTCGAGTCTATAGTCTAGCCTATAGTCGAGTCTATAGACGAGTCTATAATTGAGTCTATAATCGAGTCTATAGTCGAGTCTATAGACGAGTTTACAGACTATAGTCAAGTTTATAGTCCACACTATAGTCGAGTCTATAGTCCAGACTATAGTCGAGTCTATAGTCCAGACTATAGTCGAGTCTATAGTCCAGACTATAGTCGAGTCTATAGTCCAGACTATAGTCGAGTCTATAGTCCAGACTATAGTCGAGTCTATAGTCCAGCCTATTTTCGAGACTATATTCCAGACTATAGTCGAGTCTATAGTCCAGACTATAGTCGAGTCTATAGTCCAGACTATAGTCGAGTCTATAGTCTAGCCTATTTTCGAGTCTATAGTCCAGACTATAGTCGAGTTTATAGTCGAATATAGACTAGTCTATAGTCCAGACTATAGTCGAGTCTATAGTCCAGACTATAGTCGAGTCTATAGTCCAGACTATATTCGAGTCTTTAATCCAGACTATAGTCGTGTATGTAGTCCAGACTATAGTCGAGTCTATAGTCCAGCCTATTTTCGAGTCTATAGTACAGACTATAGTCGAGTCTATAGTCCAGACTATATTCGAGTCTTTAATCCAGACTATAGTCGAGTCTATAGTACAGATTATTGTCTGTACTATTGTACCGATTATATTCTAGGCTATAGTCCAGTCTTGCCAATAGTCTACATTTTTTTCGATACTATATTCCAGTCTATATATGGTGAAAACTATAGTCCCACCTTAAGTCGATCTTAATGTTTGTATTTAGTATTATTGTTATCGAAGTAGTATTTCCTATTTATGCATTTGTGTGGTTCGTATCTAGATAGTTTGAACTTTTTATTTAAAATATTGTTTTTTTTTTTTTGTGCTTGAAACCTAAAATTTTTAAAATTAAGATTTTGTAGAAAACTTTGTAGTTTAGGATTCAGATCCTAATTGTTAATTAATGGTAGTATTAAGACTTGATTAAGAAAGTGAGATTCCAAATTATGCTTTCTAATGATAGTCAGATTGTTATGTTAAATTATTTGAGTAATTACTGGGAAATCGTCTGGTGGTTGGGAGAGGGTTGGAAGTATACTAGAGGAGTAAGTTCCTAGTTTTTTGTTCTATTCTGTATAAAACTCGATCCCCTTATCTGGTCTACTTGAGCCAAAAATGTACCAATAAGAATGAAACCATTTATTTAAAATATTGCCACAAAATTCCCAAGACTGCACCTCTTTCTAATAACAAATATTTCCCTTTTCTTTCTTTTTCTACTGCCAAGAACTCATGGCCAAACAATTTCAACAAAATTCCTAGTTTGCATGTAATCATATGCAGGATACATAAAGTCCTGTGTTTTAACATTTAATAAACCAACAACATATTTATTGTTTTTGACTTTTTTTAAATTCCCACAACAAGGTAACACAAAACTTTGTGGCAAATATCTATCCAAGTGGTTGGGGGGGACAATACAAAAAATAGTTAACAGGAAATATAAATTGAAATTTTTGCAACAAACAGCATTGTTTTAAAATGTTAAACAAAAATTTTCAATAAAATAAAATTATAGAAAAAAGGATATAAAACTGTACATAACTCACATTCAAATGGCGTATGTTGGTTGCTCTGTTACTGACAGTTGCCTGCAAATCAGACAATACGAGAGAAAAAAACTATTTATATTTAATTGCAAACAATATTTAGTTTTGTTTCGTTTTTACCATAAATAACAATGCCATTGAAATAGCAATAAGAAAAATATAAAAAAATGAATTTTTAATTTCTATAGAAACATTTTTGTTCTTTTTAAATAATACTTTAAGCGAAATGGCAATACAAATGAAATGCTAAACAATTACAGACCATCAAAAACATTCAAACAAACAAATGCATATGCTATAGTTTAAGAGGGTGGTTGGGTATTTCTTTTTCAGTTCCTTTAGGCCTTAAGTAATATATATTATAATATGGCCTGGTTATACGATTGCAATCGATTTATGTTTGTATGTGAATGAGTTTTAAGTGCGAAAATGATTAAGGGATTAAAAAACACAAAGTAATTGTTTGACTTATTTTAATAATTAAATTTTGGTTTCAAAATACTTTTTAAGGACTTCAAAATGTCGGGGCTATAGAACTTAATTAGGAATATATCAAAAAGTTGGAATTATTATATAAAGACTACAGACCCGACCGTAGACTATAGACTAGTCTATAGTCTAGTCTATAGTCTAGTCTATAGTCTAGTCTATAGTCTAATCTATAGTCTAGTCTATAGTCTAATCTATAGTCTAGTCTATAGTCTAGTCTATAGTCTAGTCTATAGTCTAGTCTATAGTCTAGTCTATAGTCTAGTCTATAGTCTAATCTATAGTCTAGTCTATAGTCTAATCTAAAGTCTAGTCTATAGTCTAGTCTATAGTCTAGTCTATAGTCTAGTCTATAGTCCAGTCTATAGTCTAGTCTATAGTCTAGTCTATAGTCTAGTCTATAGTCTAGTCTATAGTCTAGTCTATAGGCTAGTCTATAGTCTAGTCTATAGTCTAGTCTATAGTCTAGCCTATAGTCTAGTCTATAGTCTAGCCTATAGTCTAGTCTATAGTCTAGTCTATAGTCAAGTCTACAGTCTAGTCTATAGTCTATTCTATAGGGTAGTCTATAGTCTAGTCTATAGTCTAGTCTATAGTCTAGTCTATAGTCTAGTCTATAGTCTAGTCTATAGTCTAGTCTATAGTCTAGTCTATAGTCTAGTCTATAGTCTAGTCTATAGTCTAGTCTATAGTCTAGTCTATAGTCTAGTCTATAGTCTAGTCTATAGTCAAGTCTACAGTCTAGTCTATAGTCTATTCTATAGGGTAGTCTATAGTCTAGTCTATAGTCTAGTCTAGTCTAGTATAGTCTAGTCTATAGTCTAGTCTATAGTCTAGTCTATAGTCTAGTCTATAGTCTAGTCTATA